CCAAAAAAAAAAAAAAAAAAAAAAAAAAAAAAAAAAAAAACTTCCAAAGAGCAAACACTATATCAAGAATAGAGCATTCCAGCTCTCGTGTCTTTGCTTTGAAGCAGGCATGCTGGTTTGCCTCTGGTTTCGTGTCATCAGAAAGCACAAATCCTACTTGGCAAACAGAAGGAGAGTTGTTTGGACTCTTCTAAAGATATTTGAAGATGGGCAAATAGAATTAGCTCCATTAGGGTAACTACTGCTAACTTTGAAAACTTTAGTTCAAGATTTCAAAGAAGTTAAATAAAAAATTCAGGGCATGGAAATAAGGAATGATGAACAAAATTCTCTCCCAATTGTGATTGCCAGATGCTGTAGACTACTGAGAAATTAAACTGATGACCTGGAAAATAAACTCGAAAGGAGAGGAGTTATGTCTCCTGGAAGATGTCTGTAGATTTGTCCTAGTTTGTCTCTGAAGTGTGACTGAGCAGACGCAAGGCTTAAGTTGTGGGATCTCACTGGTTCCTGCTGCTGCTTTGAGAGGGCTGAAAAGAGGGCCCCTTGAAGGAAGAACCTCAATCAAGATAAATCCCTTTTATTACCTTTCTTGTTTTGTTTTAGACACATGCACAAAAGGTCAGAGGTATCAGCCTTCGCGCCTTGGTGGTTAAGGCCCACACCTGCCTTGGGTGGTGGTGACAGCCACATTCCTCTTGCTTGGTTTATGATGAATTCTGTTCATGCTTTGGACCCAGTAAAAGTATGTAGCTGAAAATGAAGTTTGTCCTTTGCTGAAAGAAGGGCAGGTCTCTGCCATCAACATGTAATACTGGAATTTTGGAAGTGTAGTCTCTCTGGGCTTTAGTTATGGACACACTCATCTGGGGTGAATTCCATCTTTTTCTGTAGCACTGGAACTCCATAAATGTGTCCACAAAAGATTTCTGTGTGGCTGGTAGGTGATATCAACACGAGTCCCTCTCTGTTCTTGGCAGGTGGTTGATCCGATGCTTTGGAAGACAGTGGGTTGGATCTGGGAGCAAAGTGGGGCATCGTCACCCTCTTCTTGAATCGAATGATCTATACTGAGAGCGAGTTATTTGCATGGGGAACCGTTTCTGCATTTAATGAGCCATGTGACCTCAGGGAAGGTATTCGACTTCTCTGAGATTTGGTTTAAACATTTGTAAACCAGGAATAAAAATAGCTATCCCTGTTTAACCCTCAGGACCAAAAGAGAAAATGTGTGTGGAAGTGCATTGAAAATGCATAAAGTACCTTGTAGTACGAGGTGGTTATTTTATTATTATTTAAATATAATGGAGCTTGCTGCCCAAAGGTTATTTGTTATTTGCAAGAGGAAGAGCTGCACATCTTAATGGTGGCTAATCTCATACACACAAATCACAAATCACCTGCAAGGTCCTAAGGCCCTACTGGCAGTTCCTTGTTTGTTATTCCGGTCTGATGCTTCATACTGAAGCTGCAGATAGCTCTGAGTAATTCTTCTATAAGTAATTCTTCTGAATTAGACCTGTGTGCGCGTCCGTGCATCCGTCTGTGCTCACGTGTACATGTCTGCTTCGGTACCACTCTTCACGGATGGATGAGGTCTTTGTTGGGATTGGAGGAGGCAGTATCTACATTTCATTATTCTAGAATATGTCTTAAAAAGCATGAAACTGAAGGACCTTAATGTCGGGCAGATTATTAGAAATGACCCATCTTACTACCAGGCAAACTACATTTTGGACAAGGCATTAGGTTGGCTGACTTTTCAGACGGTATTTCAAGTAAGAGATCTGGTTGCTTTGTATTTACTCTGGCTGTAGTTCTCCTGCTTAAAATTAATACCTATCGGTAAGTATCAGGGTGGGCGTTTATATTACTGTCTTGTTCCAGAAGGGATTTAAAGCTGCTTACAAAGACGCTTAAAAGTAAGCAGCAGACACCCTTTAAAAACCAGACGAGGAAAGTTAGGCATGAGAAAATAAGGCAGGGCTCACGTGGGGCCAAGGAGAAGGTGATTGTATTTCATTTTTCTGTCCCATCTTTTTTCCATTTGGACAAAATGTAAATGAAGATGCCAGTGGGTGGGGAGGGGCCTCCTGGGGCCTCTCAGCACCCTCTAAAGTGGTCCAGGCACAGCTGCTCACTGTGTAAATGTGAATGAAATCACGGTCCAATCAACTCTCACCAGGTCCAGAAAGACTGCTATCTAAACAGGGGCAATTTGGGCGAGTAGACATTTCTTTTTAAGTTTCTGATGAGTGATTTTCAGGAAAAGAAAGTGGGCTAAGCGCCACTCTCCCTGTGGCTCCTCCAGGTGGACACCACGGACGCTGGCTCGGGGTGGACCCCGCTCATGAGAGTCTCTGCGGTCTCGGGGAACCAGAAGGTCGCCTCTCTGCTGATTGACGCAGGCGCAGATGTGAACATGAAAGACAAAGACGGGAAGACCCCTCTCATGGTACGCCTTGCTACACACAGCAGCCTGGCTTGACAGGTGGAATTAGGGTCAGAGCTGCCCCTGTAACAGAAATTCTTGTGAGTGCAGCCACATAAGAGCACTGGGGGGCTTCCCTGGTGGCACAGTGGTTTACAGTCCGCCTGCCAATGCATGGGACACGGGATCGTGCCCCGGTCCGGGAAGATCCCACATGCCGCGGAGCGGCTGGGCCCGTGAGCCATGGCCGCTGAGCCTGCGCGTCCGGAGCCTGTGCTCCGCAACGGGAGAGGCCACAACAGTGAGAGGCCCGCGTACCGCAAAAAAGGAAAAACAAAAAAACAAAAAGAAAACACTGGGTTTTGGTTGCGTGTGTATTCCCTATTGGCCTGTGAATTAAGATATGGCGATGTCACCAAAGCATTTTTTTGGGTGGGTGGGGGGGGTCACTCTAGTATTTTTGTTGTCTTTTGACAACTTTCTTGAAGGATTACCAACCCCAGTCCCTGGGGCCATTTTAGGATCAAAACAAAGAAGTGCTGTTCTCTGTCCTGGTTTGGCCTCGGACTTGTCAGGTCACATCCTACGTGGAGAAAAGCAGATTTCCTTTCCTTTCACCTTGCAGCTGCCATTGCAGTGCAGCGAGGTCCATGCACCCATCCTGCAAAGCCACAGCGGCCCCAGACAGCTCTGACTCTTGAGCGTGCTGCTGGTGGGTGTCCTGGGCCTGTCCCACCAGGTACCCCCTTCCGCTCACCCCCACTGTTTGTTTCCTAGGTGGCCGTGCTGAATAACCATGAAGAATTAGTCCAGTTACTTCTTGACAAAGGGGCAGACGCAAGTGTGAAAAATGAGGTATGTAACTCCATCTCCATCTAAGGATTTTTCCTGGTGAGGAGGAGAGAACATAGATACGAAAGAATTTTTCTTGTTTTCTCTTTCAGTTTGGCAAAGGTGTCCTAGAAATGGCCAGAGTTTTTGACAGAAAGGTTGGGATGTTCTTTCTGCCCTTTGAGGCTCATTTTGCAGCACTTAAAAAAACACACACACAAAAACCCAAACCTTGGATTACATGCCCCTGTTTTTGTTTATCTAGAATGTAGTCTCCTTATTAGAAGAAATGGAAAAAAAGCAAATGCCTAAGAAGTCATCTCTTCGCTGACCGGGGCACCTCTTACCTCCCTCCGAAAGCCAAGTGAAACGAAGCAGAGCGGGGCTTGAACTAGAGAGATGAAATTCTGCATCTTTGAGGGCTATACATTTGATTAATTATTCGGTGAAGATTCACAGTACTTTTGTAACATACGACTGTTCTCACTTTGAAATACATCTTTTTACCTAAGTACGCGTGGTGGTGGTGTCGTCATCGGGCGTCTGTAGAACGGGGATATTTTCTTGTGCTCGGGCCTTTTGGAGTTAGACGTGAAACAAAATATTTATGTCCCGGAGCTGCACAAACATACACGGGCCTCCCACCTCCCGCTCCTGCCCTCCAAGCTGTCCTCCGAGCCACTCCAGGACCCGGTGGAAATTCCTTCTCCCATGTGCTTTTAATTATGTCCTTCCTTCCCAACCTAAGGCCTTCCAGGCCGTGTGGTCAGGTTGGTGCGCCCTCCTGAGAGATGCTCCTCCTGAAAGCCCAGGAGGCCACGTGAAGAGTTTTCCACTCAGCCGTTGGCCTCACATCAAAGCACAAGATGCATATTTCAAGACTCCGATTCTGCTCCGTTAGAGGAGTCCTCTTAGAACAGACCTGTCTGCGGATGTGTTTGCATACACTCAGGCCCTGACAATGAAAGAGCCGGCCTGCTGGCCTGTTGACAACTTTGCCAAAGAGGAGTATATGATTACATCGAGTCCTCAGAGCAGAAAGGGTTTTGATGCTGATCGCTCAGTTCTAAGACAAGTAGGACTGAACAGGTCTGCTGGTTGGGAGCTCAGACACCAACGTGTTCGAGCTTTAATTTGGCAGACACACTTAAAAATCAGCAAAGAGGGGAGCGAGCCGACCGCATGCATTTCGCGTTTCCAGAGACAAGCTGGTTAGCTTGACCCCAGGAGAAGACCAGCTACAGAGGTCTGCACGGGACTGGAATTTTCTCTG